AACATTAATAGGCGTATAAGCTGCTGTAAATGTTGCACTTGAACTATCTGTATTCTTTGAGAATGAACCGTCCATAGGAATCCAATCCATAACTTTAACAGGAAAACATAAAGCCTCGTTTGTATAATGTTCTACAAGTTCTGTATAAATGTTAGGGTCTAAAGAGAATGACTTTGGATGAATGAAACATTCATTAAAATCCATCTTTGTTCGAAATAGTTGCTGGTTACAGTTGTAATAGTAACTGTTCCACTAGCTTCTACTGCCTTCGTTATCATAGTGAATGGTTCATTCCATGGAACAAATTTATTTGTCGGTGGATTTGAATCTGAAGCAAATGCAACTTTAAGAGTTGGATTGAAAGCAATGATATCATTTACAGATATAGATGTGCATTGTAAGGCGTCGCTACTGAACTTTACTTTAAGCTGAATGTTTCCTGCAAAAGCTGGAATAAATCTTATAGTTCTAATGGTAAAAACTTTCTACAGGAATTCTTAAACGAAGCTTAAAATCAAATGATTTTCCTGCTGTAATTGGACCACTAACAATTTGTCCTGTTCTGCATGTTCCCGAATGACTCCATACATCTTCATGTCGAGTCTTTGAGAAAACATCTACTTTCTTTATTTGTTCGGTAGTTTGTGAGTTTGAAGTTATATATGCTTCTTCTCTTGCGTTGTCTTGAGAATATACGATACGACCATTTGCAAGGATTTGATATCCAGCAACTGCATAGAAAGCGTCATCGAAACCAATCCAAAATCCTGGTGGGTTTGTTTTATTGGAACCTGAACCAATTTCTTTATCTACAATAAATTGACCTTCCATTTTATACGTAATGAATGTATTGTAAAGGTCCAACATATTTTCACCAGGAGGTGAGAGATTGAATGTTACCCATGTGTATCTTTAGCAGTTCCAGGTTGTGATGGAATCTTTGCGTCAGAATATTTTCTATTAGTGTCACCAATTTGAACTGCATTGTCTATGATATCGAAATATGAGCGAATCTGATGAATATGCTCTGCTGGAGTAATTCGTTTAGCTGTTCGTTCTGCATGTATTTACTTCAGATAAAAATATCTATTTACTTCATTATTCTCACTCTTCTTCTTGGCATTCGTGGTGGAAGTTGTTTCTTGACATTTTCAATGAACTGTACATTCTCTTTTGTCTCAACTTCTTTCACTGGCGGGTCAGGGTTCTTTGACTCGGTTTGTTTTTCAATGAAATTCACGAACTTTGCAATAAGCTCTTGGTTCGTTATTGAAAGTACATCTGGCTTCTTTTCTTCTTGTTCTTTTGGTGGCTCAGTTTGAACAGAAGGTTTTATATGGGCTTCGCCCTCGGTGCCATGCACCTTAATGTTGTCGCTCTCTGCATTCGCTAATGGTACCTTTCTTTTTCTTACGTATATTTTACCATCTTTACTCTGACTTACGTAATAGAAAGGATGTTGTATTCCTCTGGCGTCATTTAATATAATAGACTCTCGTTCTGATTTTGACAAGCTCATTTTACATCGGTTAAAGTTTTAATTTTGTTTTTTATCTGCAGTCAAATGACTCAGACAAGCCCTACGGACAAGACTCAAGGTGTCATAGATGTTGAAGCATTGAAGAAAGAAATTCGTGAGCAAATTTTATCCGAACTGAAGGAACAAAAACAAGAACAAAAGCCAGAGAGACCAAAGAGAAAACTTAGTGAAAAACAACTTGCTGCATTAGCTGCTGGAAGACAAAAGAACCCAAGACTACTGGCGAAAAAAGCTAGAGAAGAAGCTGAAGCAAAAGCTAAAGAAGCTGAAGTGAAGAAAGAGTAAATGGTTTATTTTTATTGGAACTAAATGTATAGACAAATACCTTTATCTGTTGCGTTCAGTAGTGAAAACCCTGACGTCAAAATAAAGGGGAACAGAGTAACGTTTAAGTTTCCAACAGACTGGATTGTGAACATAAATGAAGAGAAGTACATTGGCATAACATCTATGTATATAACACGTGCTTTCAGAAAGGTTGACTTTATACTTCAAGTCGAGATAGAAAATGACGAACAGTCTTTAAGCGCCCAAAACATTCACATATACAAATACTTTAAAGACGATACAACATTGTTGCAATGTATGATTTCATTTAATGAGATGTTTGAGAAAAAGTTCAACATTGAAGTACAAACTTTACAGCCTTTACGTGAGTTTCTTGCACAACTGAAAGAAGAAGGTAGTCAGCCACAACTTATAGACTTTCATTATGAATTTAATGAAAATGAAGATGGAACACATGACTGTCAGTTTGTTGTATTCTCACCATTCAATGAAGTCGCTAAAAAGAAAGAAAATCCATTACGTATAAGATTTCAAATCTCTGAACCAAGTGATGATTTCAAGAATGTTTTCAATTATGATGCAATGCTTCCGAGGAAAAATGAATTTTCAAAGATTGTAACACCTGGCATTTGGGATAGAAAGCAAGCTATTCTTTTCTCTAATATAGCCAAAGGCGTTGAAAATGAGTTCATTGGTCATACAAGAACTTCACCACTTCCTAACCCTAAATACTATAAATTAACTGGCTTCAATCGTGAGTTTTGGATAGACATGTTCTCCACTCATGGCCATAAATGTCCAGTGTTCTTACCTCCAGATGGGAAGGACTGTCTCTACATTGAAGCACAACTCTTAAACTCTACCATCGCAGTATTGTAAAATCTACGCTAGCTTTATTTTTATCACGAATGACCTCATTGCTGACAAAAATAAATGACCTCATTCATGACCTCATTGCTGACCTCATTCATGACCTCATTGCTGACCTCATTCATGACCTCATTGCTGACAAAAATAAATGACCTCATTGCTGACCTCATTCATGACCTCATTGCTGACAAAAATAAATGACCTCAGAACTTCAACTTACGAATAAAGCTTGTTTTAGTCGTTATTGAGAAGTTAAACTTCTCTTCAAAGCAAGGTTGACATGACTTACATAAGTCAAATCCAATCTCTTGACCGTCATAAAGTGCTTTATAAAGTTTCATGACACTGAACTCAGAGTCTTTGTCAAATTTTCCTTGCGGAACCATTAAACCTTTATCTTCATCATAGAAACACTGAACAGAGTCAGGAAACATTTCATTAGCGGTTAAAGCAATAACATCTTGCTTCACGCCTTTCATTCTGCAGTGAAATGCAACTTCATTTAAATCGTTAGTGAGTAAGTCTATGTAAGTCTTCTTTCCACAAAATATTGACTTGTATGCTAAACTTTGTTTTCCAGGTGTTATTTCTGCGAAGTCAGAATGAAATTGACCTAATGTTTTACCAATAAGTTCTCTACCGTATCTCTTCTTAAATTCATGAGCTAAACGTGGTATGTCTTCATTGTAAATGTGCATCGAATCTGTATCCTGATAAAATGCTTTTAATCCTAAGTCTTCAATCGTGCAAAACACTTCATTCATTATTCTCTTCGACATAGACAGAATGTTAACACCAAGTGGACAGAAGTTAAAGTGTCTGCAAATGCTTTTTGTTAGCTTGAAAATAGTTTTTATCTGAACCATCCAAACCTTCGAACTTCACTATATGGTTGTAGTTTCTGATGGCATATTTATAGCATCTTTGTCATCTACTATGGTTATTTTTGACTCAATAGGAGATAGAATATTTGCCATAAATACTGTTCAGAATGAGCTTTATATTCTTGCAAAGGATTTCCTTCTTTCTTATACTTTAACCTTAACTCAAACAACTTCTTTACTTCATCTCTTTTCTAATATCTCTGCCCATCGTAGTAGTATCCTTGCAACACTTCACATTTGACACCTTGATATTTTATAAGGTCTTGTAATGTTATATGGTCAACATACATGAGACAGCAAGTGTTTGAACTTCTGGGAACGTTAAGTTCTGGATTTAGTTCAGGGTCACAAACTATTAAAGGAAAGTGTCTATATATTCCAATCTCTGTTATCTTAATGAGAACAAAGAAGCCAGACATAAACTTTTCACCAATGGGTTCCTTTTGGTCGTCATCGAATAAATGTCTCATGAGATACTCTGTGCTTAACATCTCATCCTTCAATACTTTTGGAATTCCTTCTAAAGTATACAATCTTGCTATAGCGGATGGATATAATGAAACAGCGTCGAAGTCAGCAATGAGTTTCTTTTCGCTCTTTTGTTTCATGTTATCTGACAACATACATCTTCCACCTTGAATGCATCTCGAAATAAATTCTCTTGGTTTATTTGAGAGGTCATAAAGATTTCCATTCGGGAAGTATACTCTGTTCTCAAACAATTTGTTAGCAATAGAACAAATACTAACGTAGTCATAAACGTTTAAATCAAACTCTTTCAATAAGTCATTGCGGAACTTTACAAAACCTTCTCTTAAAATTCTTACATCTTGTTTGCAGTAAAACGTGCTATATTTTTCTAAGTCGAAGTGGTTTTCATCTATTCTGCAACCTTTGATGGAATCTATGTTCTTCATAAATGTATCTGCATCTTTGACAAACTTACATGCTTCAGAAATGACACCAGTTCTGTTGTCATTTGCTAACAAAGTACTGCTGTAGTAGTTGTATGGAAATACTTCTTTCGGTCCTGTTTGTAAGTTAAACATAGCAGGAAATAGTTTAAGCTTCTTATTTATAACACTGTAAGAGTCTTTTATAATAATTGCCCGTCCTTTATATAAGCCAGTTATTTGCATTGTTCGTGAACCTTTAATGATGGGAGTTCCTTTCACTTCTGTCATGTGTCTTAAGATGAAGTTTATATCATAACTGAGGTTATGGAAATATATTAAACTCTTGTCAGGAAGTCGTTCCAAAAATTCTGTTGCACAGTTCTGACCCCATATGCTTTCACTCACTGAACCATCTTCACTGTCATAACAGATGTTAAAAGCTTTATGAAAGCCATCCGTACTGCACTCAAAGTCAGCAAAGAAAACGTGCTCAGGAATGAACTTACATTTAGCTTTATTTACTTCTTTTGACTCTGCTTTCTTCTTCAGTTGTACACAATACTTTGGAGCATATGTCAAATCTTTAAATGGTGCAAGGTTCTGTTTATATAAGTCAGTCGTATATGTGAAAAGTTCTCCATAAGAAATAGGTTCGAAATATTTGCACTCCCACAATGTTTTCATAACATCCCATAGCGGTGTAGTTCTATCCATGCGAACTACATATTTGTTCTCTCTCATTGTATATATTTTCATCTGTTTCTCAATGTTCATTCCACCACACTCCTTCAAGATTTCTATATAGTTGCGAATGAAATATGTTGTCATTGGAAGTCTTTCATTTAGCATGTAGTGGTCTTCAACAAGAAGTAAGTCAATAGTTCGAACAGTTTCACATTCTTTTGGTATGTATCTCTTTATTTCATTATGTCTTGAGTCATTGAAATAACCAATGGTAACATTAAATGCTATACCTGTTGCGTCAGAAATTTCTTGTACTTTACTTTGAGGAAAGTCTCTAACACGAATGACTTCTCTCATGTGGTCAATAGTTTCTTCATCTACTCCAGCCTGAATGCAAGCATAAACGAAACAATTGTCTTCTGTCATAAGTGCTGCAGTTCTTTTGTTCAGTTCATTGAAGATTTGGTAGCGTTCAAGATTTATAGGTAATGTGCAAAGATACTTCCAGAACTGACCGCTTCTCTTCTTATAAAACTTCTTTTCATCAAGGATTTCATTCCAGAAGTCATCTATATCTTGTTTATCTCCTGTTTGTTTAAGTCTGTTCAATAATCTTTTCTGTCTTTCTGTCAGTGTGCTTTCATCTCTATATGGTCTCTTTTTTGGTTTGCCTTTCTTAACATCTGACATCGTTAAGCCTTCATATTCTGTTAAATCATACATCTTTATTTCAGTAAGATTCTTTATGTTTGTCAAGAAGAAGTCATAGTGCATTTCAACAATACCTGCAGCATTTGCTTCTATCTCTGATATAAAGTTCTCCTTCAAGAGCTGATGTAGTAATGTTCCAATATTATTGAGGTTTAACGTAGAACATTCATACTTTCCACCAAGTTTATAACATACCATCCATCTTTGTTGGGAGTTTATTTTAATCTTCTCTAAGAGTCTCATGAAAACCTTACCGAAATGTTTGTGTAAATAGTCTCTGTTTGGTTCATCTAAAGCTTCGATGTTAAAGTCAATGAGTCTATTGCCTGACTTCACATTTCTCTTCCTATTCTCTTCATCTTTCTTTAACCATCTCTCACCTTCTTTTGGTTTGTCGTCAATGGAACGAATGACATCGTTAGCTTTGCGAACTTGTTCTATAGCACTTTTAAACATCTCTCTTCTCTGTTGTTTCAGTGTGTCGTCTCTTCTTCTTGTTTCACCAACGTTTGCATTTGTTATGTCAAACATCTCTTGACGAACGTCATGCGAAAGAGCTTTACGAGTATGACCAACGTTTGCATTTGTTATGTCAAACATTTCTCTTCTTACTTCATGAGGTATTGAACGTCTATGATATAAGTCAATAGCAACGTCATTTAAAGGAAATGCTCTTGCATTTATGAACTCATGAATTCTATCATAAGTTATTTCACCATTGTAGTCTTTAATGAAGTCAGCGAGTGCTTTTTTGTTTGTCGCGTAATGTTTTGCAACATCTATGTTAGCTTCTGTAAGAAGTTGTTTTATTTCCGAGTGTTCTAACTTAGACAACTTCCGATACATCTTTAGTAGGAAATAAAAAAATTTCTTAGAAAAAATTAGATTAGATTTTTTTTAAGTTATTTTTCAAAATAATTTAATATTTTTATTTTAATGAAACACATGCAAGATTGCAAGTTCTTTTCATACAATGCTCTCGCTACTGCCATCAAGAATGAGTTCAATGGTGCTTCAAACGTTAATGTTATCTTTAACAAGAAGTTTGTGAAAGAATCTAAGTTTGGTCAGTATGTCAGACCATTAGCTATCGTCATTGACCGCAAACGTTATACTTCACAAGAGTTAGCAGTAGTTTTGAAACAAAATGGTTTCTTCGTGAATGTCAAAGATACTCATTATACTATTATAAAGAACTCCAACATTGACTTCTTCAGTATTACTATGAATCTTTCCGAACAGAAAGAATATAAGAAGGGTGAAACAAATGTGAAATATTATCCTTCATCTCTGAAGACAATAACGAACAAAGATGTCATACAAAAGTTCTTACCAAAGGTTGAAGAAGCTTCTATTGACATTGACGAAGGAAGTGAAATGGTTGAAGAAATTGACCCTGAAGCTATTTAAGCAAAAATATATTTTTGAATAACTGAAAGTGTCACCACGTCACCATGTGTCACCAGGTTAATTAACTTCTTTTAAAAATGATGACAACATGACATTTTGACAACAGGTACGAAAGAGCGAACAGCATGATGCTTCGTTAATGTTATTGTTAATGCTTACAGTGTCGAACATAATTGACGTAGGATTCATGACTTCTTCGTAAATGAGTGTAAATATAGCACAAAAATATATTTTAGGTGAAGAGGTGAGATCTCACCCGTTTTTTCACCTCTTTTTTCACCTCATTCTCTCTTCGTTAATGTTGTCGTGACTTCATTCTTCCTCTTTGAAGTTATCGAAATATTCTGTTATCTTTTCTTTCAGTAGCGGTAAGTCTTCTTTGAATGTAAGTATTGTGCAACCTTTGATGTCATAGTGTGTTTGAGGAAGAGTATTTTTGACAATTTCCTTTATTTGCTCATTCGGTGTCATTGAAATCGGTAAGTTTTCACGATAGAACCAGTTTCTGTCAGATTTATATATTTGAGCGAGGTCATAAAAGCTCTTGTTGTTTCTTCTGACTAAATGCAACATAACCATATCTTTATCTTCTTCTTTCTCCATCTCTTCAGTATATATCATATACTTATAGCTTTTTTCCTTTCCTTTTGGTACTGAACGTGGTATTCTTTTCTGTATGCTTTTGTCTTTGGATTCAATGACTTCATCTTTTGCTTGAAGTTTCTTTTCCATCTCTCCACGTTCTGCTTTATATAGTTCATCTAACATCATGAAAATATAACAAGCATAACGAGGTGAAGCCCACATTGCTACAGCATTTACTAAAAGTCTATGAACATAATAACCTTTCAAACCAGGTGCCAAATTCTTGCGATTTTCGAATGGAATCTCTTCCCTCGGTTTTCCGAGGGTAGCAAACATATGAGGAAATTCTTCTAAAAGTTCTTTTGTCTGTTGGTTTTCAAACCAATGATATGCTTGCTTTGTAGACTGAAGAGCATTCATTATACTTTGCATTTGGTACATGTCGTCTTTGACTGAACGAATGAGACGTAACTGTTTGTTATACTGTATGTTATGTCGACAGGCTACGTAGCACAGTGGTCTAAGGTGGTGTTATGGAGGGGTCAGGGTCTGTGGTTCGAACCGCGACAGCGCCGTATTTTCTTATTTTCTTTGTTTGTCTTGTTTGTCGTGAATAAAAAGTGCTCTATCTTCCACGGGAATAAATAAAAAATTTACTTTATTTCTTCTTTATTTCTTTGTTCCCGTGGAAGAAGGGTTTTGCTGTTTTTTCACCTGTTTTTTCTCAGCCGAAATCAATGATTTTTTCATTTTTGGAATCCTTAGCGAATGAGGAATCTTTTCTCTCGTGGAAGCTTTGACCAAAAATAATGTTTAGGTGAAGAGGTGAGATCTCACCCGTTTTTTCACCTGTTTTTTCACCTCTTTTTTCACAAGCGTTTTACATGAATTGTACGATGTATATTTGAAATCCTAAACAATTTCGTAGCTTCTATTTCTTCTTTTAGTACATCGAATGTTTTAATCATGCCGAAAGTCTCTTTATATTTCTTCTTGACGTCAGACAGAAGGAAATCTTCTGCTGTTGGATAGTTTTTGTTCAGAAATGCTAACATGTCCATTTTATCTTCTGCTGGCTTTTCTGCTTCTTTCTTTAAGTCTGCATAGTCGTTTCGCATACGTTCTATCTCTTTGACTGAGTATTTATATTTTCTTATTCCTGCTTTACATTTTGAACATTGCGGATTCATTTTTGCGTTATACATTGAAATTTGACCTGCTAGAACAACTAAGGCGTCAATCGTTTTCTTTAACTCAAAAGCTGCGGGTTTTATTTGTCCGTTCCATACTTTACCTCTTCTATCTTTATCTCTTATCTGCCATACACATTCAGCAACTAATGAAACAAAGTTGTCGTATGTCTTAAACTCCTCCGATTTATATATATCAGAAACATTCTTATATACCATATCGCAATCTTTGTCCAAACTTTATGGTTGCAATGATATCCTAGAAACTCATAGTTAACCTTACGTATGAACTTCTTTATTTCTACTGAATCAGTAACTTTAACTTCAATTTCATCGAATTCAGGAATAGTTAGTTTTTGTTGTTGGATTTCAGGCAATTTGGGTAAATGGTCAATAATGTCCTGCATGTCATAAAGATATTCTTCATTTTCTTCATCCTGTGCGGTACAGTCTAAATTACTTGTTAAAAGTTCTTGCTTTATTCTTTGTATTTCTGTTTCGAAAGTAAATGAAGAAGGAATGAAGCTTTTCATCTCTACTAACATTGACGTAGGATTCATGACTAACGAGTTTGGTGCTGTTGTTGTTTGAATTGTTGTTGTGCCGATTGTTGAAATCATATCTTTTATACAAAATAAAAAAATAAATAAAAATAAAACTAGCGTTATTTTTCTTTCATAAGGAAATACATGAAAATTCACGGGGGGTGAAAAAACAGGTGAAAAAACGGGTGAGATCTCACCTCTTCACCTAAACATTATTTTTGGTGAATTCAATAAAAATAAATGGTTCATTTACTCACAATATTTTTGTACAAAACAACCCCAAGCTTTTAACTTCTTTTCTGCAGCTTCTAATGCTATCTTAGCGAGTTCATATTCTCTAAATTCTCTCTTTAAATTTTCTTGTTCCCATTGGTCTAGTTCGTATGGAGAATCTCTATAACCATAACATAACTCACGTTCATGTTCTAATTGTTTTTCGCACATTTTTCCAACTTCTTCTTCAAACAAAGGTTTAGCATTCTCTACTGTATCTTCGAGTTCTTCTTCATCTAACTTCTCATGAACTTTCTTGTCTATGGAATCCATAATATCTTTGACATAAAATGCATACTTTACAGAGCACCATTCAGCAACAAAATGAACGAGGTCAGGATGTATGTAAATACCTTTGAATTCATTTATAACACCCTTTGTAAGCTCATAAAATGCTTGTTTTGAGGTCGAGCCACTTTTGGCTCCACCGTATTCTTTCAACCAAAACTCAAGAATTTCCTGCATTTTAGCACTATTGAGAAATCTGTTTAAATGGTTTAACTTTCCTGCTTCTCTTGCCATCTTTGTTGCATTAATGTAACCATCCTTGTCTCTACGTAAGACTTCAATACCGTTATAAGTGCCTTTTGTGAATGTTTCACCATTAGATTTGTTAGTGAATGTTTTTGCTTCGACCGTCATTTCTGTCTTTACATACAAAATAAAAAAATAAATAAAAATAAAATTAGCGTTATTTTTCTTTCATAAGGAAATACATGAAAATTCATGAGGGTGAAAAAACAGGTGAAAAAACGGGTGAGATCTCACCTCTTCACCTAAACATTATTTTTGGTGTAAATTTATGAAAACATTAATAATTCCATGATTGTTCTCATTCATGTCTGATTTACATCTAATGAAAAAGTTTAGATGAATTTTCTTATTCTTTCTGGCATATTTTTGTCTTTCCAATACTCCCGCTCTAATGGTCCCAGATGAGTTGGCTTTGACTCTCTCAAGTTCTTAGATGATATAACATCTTCAACGCCCCCTTCATATCTTACTTTATAAGTGTCATCGTTTGTGTTATAGCCAAGTATTTCAATAACCACTCCTCGCTTTGCTTCGTCAATGGTTTCAGCAAGTTTGCCATTACTACTTTCGACTAATTTATGACGAGGGTAAAATGCTATGGAGTCGTCAGCAGCTTTTATAAGATATCCATTACCTTGCGTAGAGTCTAAGATATAATAATTTCGACTTAACCTTAAACGTTTCTTTGTCAACGGTTTGTCGTCAAGAACTACACGAACTTTTGTACCAGGAATGAGGGTAAATTGTTTTGAATTTCTGATATTTTGTGTTTGACTTAGTTTCTTTTGTATATACTTTTCTTCTTGTTGTTGTGTCATTGAATTTGGTGTATGTCCTGTTGTAGAATGTGTTGAGGAATTATATACTTCGAGAAAATGTTTCATTGTTTCTTCGGTAAAGTCTCGCTCTTGATTTAAATCTCTGAGAGTCCTTATGAAGCGATTAATGATACCTAAAATATTATGGTTATGGTCTTCAGTAGTGTAGTGAGTTATGTTATGCTTAATGAGAAATTCTGTGATTTCATTGCTGAGGTATGCACTGTCTTGGTCTGATGTTAAAGTACTTGGGTTATGTTCTGCTACAAACTTTTGTAAAACTCTTAACACTTCACGAGTTCCTTTGTTCCTCATTGGATATGCATATGCTTTACGAGTGTTAACATTAATGAAGATGAGGAATGGTTTATGTCCTCCTTTTCTGCTTTGAATGAGAGTGTCAAATTGGTATGCGTCAGGAGTGTTGGAGTAAATTGGTAAAAAGTAGTCGTAAGGGTTTATTTTTGTTTGATGTACAACATTTTTGTCAAAGAACTTTTTAACTTCAGCTCTGTTAGTAAATCCCCAACTCTTTGCTGCTTCATTGAACTTCTTAAATGACCTCCATGGATGTTGTTCGAATACTTCTTTCAAACTCATTTATGTAAAAATAAAGAGTTTAACCAACTCGTATCCAAGCGTGCATTGTTATATAAGGAGGCATATAATCTTTTCCATTACCTGCCGGGTCTGTAATACCAGCTACAACATGTGTATGATTTCCTGCAGTTCCACAGAAAATACCTGTGCTAACATCTTTGGGGTCAGTTGTGATATCATATCTGTTCATTCCCTGTCTATTCGAACCCGCTGCAAGATTTATATAACCTCTTTTTGTTATTGAATGTGAATGGTTTCCTTCCACAGATGTTCTTCCACTGAACCTATGCATATGTGAAGGAAGGTTTTCAATACCTATTTTCTTTGAACCCCCCATCTTCATTGACTGCGTATTAGTGTAGAATGGAAAACTGTCAACTATTTCATACCATCTACCACCAAATAAAGTGTTTGGATTTATTGGATTCATAGACGTATAAACAGCTCCTATAGGATATATTAAATCATATATGCTCATAACTCTATAAACATATTCTAAAGAACTTATGTCATTAAATACCATTTGGAATGTATCTCCCGGATGAAATGTTGCATTTGTTCCACTTTTATAATGTAATGTTAGTTCAATAGAATTATCCAAGAAAAATTCAAAAGTATCTGGTTGAAGACCTCTAACAAATTCAAATGGAGTTGCTGGTTCACCATTTATAATTTCTGTTGTAAATGTCATTGTATCTGGTTTCGAAAATTTCTTTGTTAGTTCTGCATCCACATAAGTTTTGTCTGCTTTCTTATCTAACATTGTTGGTAGTTCATGTGCTTCAAAGTTTCTGGCATGACCTTCAATGTTCATACATTTGTTATTTAAGGAGTTTAGTGTATCTTTTACGCTTGTACTTGGATTCTCTAAAGGTGCACTTGAACCAAGGTCAAAGTTCAATATTATGTCGTCTGCTCTAACAGTAGTGAAGGATTCGTTTGTATGGTTCTTGTCGGCTTTACTGTCTAATGTAGCTTGAAGTTCATTTATATCGGAGATGTTGTGTTTATGAGATTTCAAAACTTTGTTCATTGCGTCAAGTTCATCTTTGTCAGCTTTACTTTTAATAGCATCTTCAAACGTTATTTTTGACTTAACTCTCAAAGTAAATCTTGGTTCAACTAATACACCTTTAACAGAGAAAGTAGAGGCATAAATTTCACCGGTATAACCAAATGCTTCTGGTGCTTTACCTGTGTCATACTGTACAGTACAGCTTATGTCATAACCTTTAGCACGAATGTATTTATATCTTCTTTCATTGGGTTCTTCCGTCTTTACTTCATCACTTCGTGTTAAATATCCATGGTAGTCCGTTATAATCTGTTCGTCTGAAGTTATATAATGAACGTGGTTCTTGACTTTATCACTCAGAGCTAAAAGCTCATTTTTGTCTGCTTTTTCGGCTAATTTCTCATTAACATCATTCACTTCTAATTCAACTCTTCCGCCAGAACTCTTATTATCATTAATCTTTTTCATTAATTCGGTAATTACGTCATAAAGACTATATTCTGTTTTCGGTTTTGTAAATAATGAGTCAAAATTTCTTTTCATCATTACATCGCTGACATTAATGATATCACCAATTCCTTTTTCATTTATTCTCTTCATTAATTCTGCAATAATGACGAATATATAATCTGTTAATTTATTCTCTTCATCGAGGGTTATAGAATGTTTTGAAATTGAATCATTAACTCCTCTAAATAAATCAATAACTTCAGGATACACGTTTTTAATGTCTCGAATAACCCGACCAGTATCCTGTTGTTCATGTTCTTCGTTCCCGTCGTTACGTGGTTTTATATCTCTAACCATCATCAACGCAGCCATAACCGGAGGGTTTGTTGCTATCTGTTCGAAAATCCGTCCGTTATGTACGGTATATCTAAATAATTTCTTTGTGTTTGTTAAAACATTTGAAACAAGTCTTTTAAAACCATCTACAAAATTTCCTGTTTCACCTAATGTTCTTGCAGCATTTACAAGCTCACCCATTCCCGCTTTTGACCCCAAAAACGTCCATATTGCATTTATTTCACTCTGTATAGTTGTCCATTCAGCGAAACTAATACCCGCATTCGCTAAGCTGAAAATGAAACTCAGTGGATCGAACTTAATTCCGCCTTCTTTTTCAATTTCAACGAACTCACTAACATGAGATTTTAAGTATTCTTTCGTTAAAATTGTTTTCCCCGATGTTATGTCATTAACGAAACTATCACCGTCAAAAGTTAACGAATTCAATTTCGTCGTTGATGCTTTTATTTCATACACCGCTTTATCGATAGTTTTTGGCTCACCTTCTTTAGAAGCATATGAAACATTAATGAATGAATTATATGTATTCATGAATGAAGTTAAAATCAATGATTTTCATTAATGACGCCTTTAATGATTCGTTAACTGTTGAATCCCTTAAAGCAATTAATGAACTGTCATTTATGAAAGGTACACTGCAAACCGTCGAGTTTGGATCAAATGCTGTAGTTGGTGCAGGAATATTAATGATATAAGTCATTAAATCATTAAGTGACGTAAATAATGTTGTCGTTTTTGATTTAATTTCTTTAGCATCTGTTATATATGGTAATTTTATTTCTGTAGTTTCTGAATTAAAGATATTCGCTAAAATGTTTTGTAAACTGTTTTGAACAGCTGTGTAAACCGTTGAATCCGGAACTCTTACGATTTCACCGTCCTTAATAAAAGGCATTGCACATGGTGTAGTGCTTGGGTCAAATCTTTCGGGATTATAATTCAACATATATTCTAACGCTTCATGAACAGACTTATATACTGTTGTGTCGTTCTTCATGACAACTTCACCATTTACAATGAATGGCATAGTACATGGAGTTAAAATAGGGTCAAACTTTTCATAGTCCTTCCATGTTATGTATTTCTCGGTATTTCCATCACTGATAACAATATATTTGTCAGTAAGTGTGAGAGAGTATTGACCAAAATATAAACGTTTAGCTCTGTCAGCTTCATACGCATATGCAGCTATACTCATATTTTAATGAGAATAAAATGTTGTTCTATTTGCAAAGTACAGACCCAAACGAATACGGGACAGTAAAGCTACAAACAAACTTAGGTCTACAGAATGAGGCGCTTGCATTCAGAATGGTTGACTTCAATACTATCGCTTCATTCGTTATAACAGATGAAACAGATTTCATGGAGCTTGAAATAGATGGAAAGAAGCACGAAATAAGATTTCACAATAATGTAGAATATAAGATGGAAACATTAGCTGGAGTGTTAAATGCTCTCATAAATACTACAATAAACAAGGATAACGAAGAAAACTTAATGAATGTTAAACTTATTGCAGGAGTTTTGAAGTTCAGTTATGCGAAGGAGTTTAAGATACAGAATGAGTCATAGAGTACAACTTCTTTTGGGAGCATACCATATGACATTTCCTTTGAAAAGTGTTGACAAAACGATTGAGATGAAATCTGTTCCATACGTATGTTATGGTAATTGTTTGTACATTGAGTCAAAAATAGCTAATGTCACAGGTATTTCAGGAGTTAATAGTAAAGGTTCAGTAGAATATAAATCCTTCTGTTATGCAGTCAATTCAATGTTCATTCCAAACGTTCCTGTCATAGCAACTCATTTAGGTAAATGGGTTCGCATTAGTCCTCATAATTTGAAAGACATGCAATTCAGACTTGTTGACTTTCAAGGAGAGCCTGTAGAACTGAAGGCACCAGTGCGAATGACTGTTGAAGTTGACTTTTTAGAAAATATTAAATGCAACAGCTTACAAGAGAACTCAGAGCTAAAAATATAAAGTATGAATGTTATGTATTAGGTCATGAACTTTGGTTGTTGCTGTTTGATGAAACAAATGAGTTAGTTATGTCAGTCAAGAGAACAGAAAAATATTGTGTTAGTGAAAACTGCACCAAGTCAATAAGATTAGGTTTGCATTATGAAGATGAGTTCGATACTGTTGAAGAAGTTTTGGATAGATACAAATTGCTTTAATTTACTAAAACATATTTCAAACAAAGCTTATATTCTGTTGAAGTTTTGTATACTCGTTCGAATATTTATACTTAAACTCAACTCCTGTAGTTCCTGGTGTTTCAATGATGCGGATGTTACCTATTTTCATGAATATTGGTGTTTGACCACAGCATTCGATTTCAGGGTCGAGATAGTCAATGACACATTGCTTTCCTGTTATTCGTGATATAACATTTTCAAGGTCCTCCTTTGTTAGAATTATTTGGTTCTTACTTATAAGATTTATCAAAAGCTTCTTATCGTCTTTGAGTAAAATTGTTTGGTATAACTGAAGAAGGTAATGGTCTACGTTATCTGAAGGATTTGTTTGAACATTTGTGTAAGGGTTGTCGTTGGCTTCTCTTGAAAGAATTTGGTCCAGTGGTGGATACTCTAACTTAACATCTGATGTAGCGTTAGCGTTTGAAGCTGTGTTTAAATTCACCGACTTAAGATCTGGTTCTTTTTCTTTCAAACACTCGAACTATAGTTCTTTATGACAATATTGTTTGTCGTTCGTGAGTCAACATTTGATGTTGGTTCAATTGGAACATTAACGGCACCAGCTAAGATGGATTTGCTTCTCATTTCATATAGAATAAAAACCTTTTATATGTATGAAATGAACAATATACTCGACAAGGGTTTGAATGTAAAGCTAACGAATGAAAATATTGTTGAATTCACTGAGACAGGAGCTGTGTATAAAGATGTAGAACTACTGAACAAAAGAGCTAAGGGAAGAAGCAGGAATATGAACAAAGGGTGGAAGCCTATAAAAATTTATGTCAATGATGGCTCAGGAGGTTCAAACATAAAGTATGCAGAAAGTTATAGAGTTTATGCTCTCAAAGGTGAAAAGCCTTCATTTAAGAACAGCTATTCTAACGCATATCCTCAAAAGCTAACGGATGGGGAAGTGGATGATATGAATGACAGCAAAAATATTAACAGAAATGGCGACAGAGATGCATGGAATTTGTTTACCATCAGTCAATTGAAGGTTAAACTTTAAAACAATGTTGGTCGTTCCCATGGAATATTTTTGACTTTAATGGTATTAGTCATGATATGAATCTCAAGGTATGAACGAGGAGAGATGAGAGACTTATATGCTTCCCAAATTTCTTCAAAAGGTAATGTTATACCTGACTGTTTCCAAATGAGTTCAATGTCATAACGTGAGAAACCTTGAAAGATAACAAAGTCAGTTATGAGACGTTTTATGTTTAAAGCAAGAAAACGCCATGCTTGCATAAGTATTGCTACAGTTAAATGGTAATGTCTGACTTTAGTTATGATGTTAGCTAATGGTGAGTCTGGTTTTGACACTAAACCTTTTCCGGCGAAGTCGTCACAAACTAATAAAGTGTTTGATGGATATTTTTTGAAGGGGTATTTTGAAAGTTTTGACAGAATGTAGTTTGTAAGTCGTTTCATATCGTAAACTCCTGAGTACTGACGTAAGTGGTGTTTGTCAATAATTCTTTCCATCTCCTCAGAAGTCTTTTGCATTCCTGACTGTATAAATTCAACGATGGCATAATATTTCCTCTTACGTCGAATGTAACGTTGAAGAAATTCAATGAGTTCACTGTCTGGAACTTTAACGACAGATGCTTGAACTTTACTCATGAATGTTTTCGCTGTTGAATCCATAGAGTCTGAAGTTGCTGATATAATGATTTGGTCATAGTAAGAGTCGTTTCCTAAACGCTCTGTTATGAGTATATGACGAATGAGGTTAAATGTCTTACCTGAACCCATCTTTCCACAATAGAAATACACACCATTTGAACAGAATTCATATCTTTACTGAAAGGAAGAATAAGAAAGTTAAGTTTGTCTGTTTCATTCATGTCTTCATCTACGTCATGTATTAAATGCTTCATTTTATCTCCATTAAAAATGCAAGTCAGAAATATTCAGAACATAGCACCGAGTCTAACTGACAAGAGTATAAAGATATACTATGAACACGTTATGATGAAACCAACCAAAATTCAAGAAAGTCAGTATACTTATGAATATCCAAGACACTGGGTAGAGTATGTAGGAGGTGAGAAAGCTATTGAAATCAGACAGGTTCGAAGTATTCCAGCAGGAAGAACAATATTATTGAAGAACTTTAATGTTTTGAGATATAATGATGAAACAAAGAAGCAAGATAGTTTCCCTGTTGCTGTGTATGTGAACTTAGATACAGGAGATGACATGAAAGTTTTTAACACAAAGCTTCAAACGGTAGTGAGAGAACAACTGACTGCGGAAGGACATCCATTACCTTCAGAAGTTACCATAGCATATAATTTTGAAACAAACTCAATAGATTTTAAAGTCTCTGCAAAGAAGTCAGGTTTTACATTTAATGAAGCAGATGTATATTCGAATGAAAACTTCAAAGCTATTGCATGGTTAGATAATGACGATTGCTTTAAGAAAATATTTAAATCAGTGACTCAAAGATGTCAATAGATGACCTTCGTGGAATGTTACCATCGACGTTTACAGTGAAGGTTCAGCAGGATTGCTTACAAGATTGTCAATTGGTGGCGTTTGGTCTCGTGAGAACATTGTTATAAAATCCAGTATAAGTGAATTTGCTGAAGAATCTATATTATGTCTTTCAAACTACATGTATTCGCCGCCGAAGCATTATAGTATAACAAACTTTGTCAGTAAGTTTAACATAAGACTTGTCGAACCTTCTTCAATGAAAGATGTTGTGCTACCTAAAGATGGAAAGGATGGACTCATTATTGAGATGATTTTAATTGCATATTAAATGAGCTTGTTCTTAAAGGTCGTTCATGATGAAATAACTGTTGTAGAAGATGTTAGCAATTGTTCAGATATTTTATTGAGAATAGATGAGATAAGAAAGAAGTTAGATAGACCGCAAAGCGGTGAGGGCGAACCACGTGAGAATGTTTATGTTTCATTGACTTTCTCCAGTAACGAGAACTTTTATGAGATAATATTGAAGAGAGATGATTTTAATATGGTGTAAATGGTAGCTTGGGCAGCTTTAGGCACAATGGGAACAAAAGCATTAGCATTTGGAGCAAAAGCACTTGGAGCTTATGACGCAGTAAATAAAATGAGTGGAGGAAGGGTTTCAAAGACATTAGACGCAAATAAAGGAAAGATTGGAGGCTGGGTTGCAAAGAAGTTAAGATTAAATAAAATAGGGCTCATAAATAAAGCATCCAATTTGGTTGCGACTGAGTCAGAAAATGCTTTAGGAAAGGACGATGAGTTTGCAAAACACGCAAAAGACTTTAATGACCAGATGAAAGGTGAAACAATGCATTTAAATAGAGTCGATGGAACTAAAGAAAATGTTTCTTCTCCACCAGCGGTTTATCCATACGGACCTTATGGAATGTATGGAAACCCTTATGAACGACCATTTGACCCATTGACTGGTGGAAGTAACTGGTATCATTACGGACGAAGAAGAAAGACAGTCAAGTTGGAGACAGACGTGAAGAAAGCAACTAAAAAGAAACCAAGGAAGAGAGTTATAAAGTAATGAATTCAAGTGGGTGAAAAAACAGGTGAAAAAAGAGGTGAGATCTCACCACTTCACCTAAATTTATTTTTTCACCTCTGACAACGTTTATTTTTAAGTTTATTTTATTATTTAGCGAGAACGTTTATTTTTATATAAATGACAGAACAAAAATAAAGCATATCTACTCAACAGGAATGAGACCCTTACTGACTATGTATTCGTTTAATGCTTGATGAAAACAATGGTACATATTATCGTATGGGTATACACAGCGTCTGTTTCCATCGTCGTCGTATATGTAGAGCTCAAATCCAGTCCAACCTTCTTTTGTACAATATGTAGCTTTATTTAAGTATGCATTTATGTAGATAAGGCAATTTTCTTCATCGCTCCAGAAATAATTTTTGTTCTTTGTTGAAATAGTTTTCGTTCCTCTGCGACCATAAGGAATGTATGCAATGAACTTTGCGTCATATGGGATTGTAATATATTCGGGGTTTCTTTCATCGTCAATGGGTCTATCTTTGTTAAAATGCATGTTTCTCAGTTTTACTTGAGTTTTGAATAGTTCACGGAAACGTTCTGGGAAAGAGTCATAGTAAATGTAGTCGGACATGTCTTTGTAATGAAATAAAAAAATTAAAAAAAATAAAAATAAGGTTATTTTTATTTAGTGAGGACGGTAGTGAATTCATTAGTGAAGTCATTAGTGAAGTCGTTTATATGTCAGATGGTTTTGTAAATATTTAAGGTTAGGTTGGTGTTATGGTTGTGTTGTAAAATATACGTTACTGGTTTCGTAAAGGAAACAATAAGAATTACCGAAAAAGTGACAAAACATCAAAAACAGGGAGGGGGTCTCAATTTTTATTACTTATATTATTTTACAATATTTATATAAATACTCTTTATAATATATTTTACTATAAAATTATACCTCAAATTCAAATATTTAAAATATTATTTACATAATTATCTCAAAATTATATTTTTATATATTATTTTTCATATGTATAAATCATATAATCTATATCTATGCAAATCTCATCTAATTTTTTTTGAAACAAACCGCTACCATTTTATAATGGTCCATCTTAAATTCATCATAAATTCTGGTACATGTTAGTACCAGAGTCTTCAAATCTCAAACACTCTGGTACTAACATGTACCAGACGCGAGTTTCCAATGCCCTCGTACGATTTTCTATTAAGATCTTCTTGAATGAGAAGGTCTTCATAGAAACTCGTACGAGGGCTTCTCTTTT